AACATGGAAGAGACACCGAAGGGACACCAAAGGACACATGGAAGGGACACCCAAGGGACTCCCAAGGGACTCCCAAAAGACAGGGAAGAGACACCAAAGGGACATGTAAGAGACACCAAAGGACACCAAAGGACACGTGGAAGGGACACCCAAGGGACATGGGAGGTACACCTGTACAGGGATAAGCTTCCTCCCCTTTGGGGAGAACCTTCGGTGTCAAACGGGTGGCACTGGAGGATACCCTCCTGTACATGTACCACCTTGCCACCGGAGGATACCCTCCTGTACATGTACCACCTTGCCACCGGAGGATACCCTCCTGTACATGTACCACCTTGCCACCGGAGGATACCCTCCTGTACATGTACCACCTTGCCACCGGAGGATACCCTCCTGTACATGTACCACCTTGCCACCGGAGGATACCCTCCTGTACATGTACCACCAGCTTGCCACCAGGGGATACCCTCCTGTACCCACCTTGCCACCGGAGGATACCCTCCTGTACATGTACCACAGCTTGCCACCAGGGGATACCCTCCTGTACCACCTTGCCACCCGAGAGTACCCTCCTGTACATGCCACCTTGCCACCGGAGGATACCCTCCTGTACATGTACCACCTTGCCACCGGAGGATACCCTCCTGTACATGTACCACCTTGCCACCGGAGGATACCCTCCTGTGTATGTACCACCTTGCCACCGGAGGATACCCTCCTGTACATGTACCACCTTGCCACCGGAGGATACCCTCCTGTGTATGTACCACCTTGCCACCGGAGGATACCCTCCTGTACATGTACCACCTTGCCACCGGAGGATACCCTCCTGTGTATGTACCACCTTGCCACCGGAGGATACCCTCCTGTACATGTACCACCTTGCCACCGGAGGATACCCTCCTGTACATGTACCACCTTGCCACCGGAGGATACCCTCCTGTACATGTCCCACCTTAAGCTTGCCACCAGAGGATACCCTCCTGTACCACCTTGCCACCCGAGAGTACCCTCCTGTACCACCCTGCCACCGGAGAGTACCCTCCTGTACCACCCTGCCACCGGAGAGTACCCTCCTGTACCACCCTGCCACCAGAGTATACCCTCCTGTACCACCTTGCCACCGGAGAGTATCCTCCTGTACCTGTACCCTTGCCACCAGATAGTACCCTCTTGTACCACCCTGCCACCGGAGAGTACCCTCCTGTACATGTTAATTTCCTTGCCACC